CGGTATAAACTTCACAAAAACTGTGACATTCACTTCACTGTGACAAAAACAATGACATACACTAGGCGATTAGATCCCTCAGTTTTCTCTTACTCTTTCAATAATTCTTCTTTATTCTAAGTGCCCAAGTACAAGTATCTAGAGCTTCTATTTACTGACAATCTATACTGGAGCAAAATATTCAAATAATACGTAATAAATAATTTAAAACTGGGTTATCTCGAGTGCACCTTTCGAGTAGCTCCTCAAGAAACCAAACTGTTCCCGTATAAAACACTAATCTTTCCAGTCCTAGAATACAGTGAAGTCTTGGTAGAACGAACACCACATTAATGATCTTTTAAGAAATCCCACACCAACTGCTAATAGTTTCAATGTAAAATTATCGCTACTATATACATCAGAATACAAAACTTTTCAGAATAACGAGTGCTATATGTAGTTTCGCTTTATATTAACAACGCCTCAGTACTACGAACTCGTGTTCTAATATCCATTGGGACTACCAGAGCGGCACGCCAACAGACAACACGACGGACGGACACCTTGCTTCTCGGAAGACGCGCGACTGTGCGCAGCTCTTTCTTTTCTTCAGAAGAGACGATCAACGGGAGACGATGACAGCCTTGACCTTTCAGGTATTTATTTTCTTAGTCGCTTATACATGTGCTGAAGGCCTTGTCAGACGTGTCCATCTTTTTTTGGTGTTTACTTATCGCATCCGCAAAGCAAGTCGGCGTTCGCGCTGCGGTACTGCAATGAGTTCATCACTGCTTGCCACGAAGAAGCGGAAAAAGTTTTCGCTAAAAGAGCAAGTCGACTTTCTTCGGCGACTTGAAGAAGACAGAAAGCAGGCTGTTGTGGCCAAAGAACTTGGTGTGGCGTGTTCCGCAATTGCCACGATCCGGATAAGGACAAAATAATCAAGTGCCAGGATCAATCACAACTTGCCCCCTTGAGAAAGTGACTGCGGCTCGGTGACTTCAGATATGATGGATATCATATTGGTGACGCGGATATGATAGATACTTGCGGAAAGCATTCATTTTTCTGGCGAAAAACGACAAAGCAAGCGAATCCCTCCACAGGAATGAAGATGAGCTGGTGGCCTTTGCTCTGCAAAGTTTGTGCTTTACGCGTCAAATAAAAAAAAATCGGACTTCTTAAACGTAAACATGCCTTTTTTGGTATTCAATTGTGCATTTGTTTTATCTTGTGGAAAAATAGTTCAAGGACCCACAGTTGTAAAGTTAAGTCGTTTTGGTCTGTGGAAAATAAGTATTTATGGTTAATTTTTGGGCTTTCACTATAACGACCTTTCAAAATAATGAACAAATTGCCATGGCCCCCTGAAGTTCATTATACTGAGATTTCACTTTATGCATTTGTTGTTTGTAATCTATTTCATAAAAGTGATATTAATACGATTGAGTCTGTTCAAAAGAAAGCTATCCATTTTGTCTACTGTAGATATGATGACCACTTTTCACCCTCTGCCAAACTTTCTCATCTCAGTCTGACCATTCTGGTAACACATCAGCACAACGAAAGCCTGAAGTTCATGCATGCCTTGATTGAGTCCCAACGGTGTGCCCATTTAAACCCGTACTTTCAGTTTGCTCAACACTCCTGTGTTCGTAGCTTGCATAATGTTAATCTTCTGCCGCTAAAATCTACAGCTGATTTGTACAAATATAGCTACTTTCGTGCAACAGTCGACCGTTGAAATGCTTTGCCTAGGTTTGCTCGTGCATTACAAATGACCGATTTTTTGTGTGCACTTGACATGTGATGTTAGCTCTACTCCTGCCATAGCCCATGATGGTTTGCAGTATGTATAAATAAATAAATAAATAAATAAATAAATAAGTTGTTTTGAAAATTAGCAAAGAAAGAAACTTTTGTGAAAAGCACTGGGGACAAGTATAGCATAGTGTTCTGTAAACTCTGAACAATTCCAACTGTGATTACTCAAACTTTTGATCAATTCAAACAAATCTTAACTTTTTGATTGGCCCTATGTTTTTAGTGTATTTTAAAGCCACTTAATGCATACTGCCCCATTGCATAAATTTGGTTCGTTCAAAATTTTGATTGTCCGGTTCTAGAAATGTGTCCTGTTTTTCTTGCTTCTAGTAAACATTCGTATTTTTATGTCACTATCAGTCAGAAATAAAGCAGATTATCCTCATATATAATGGCTAAACTAGCAAAACCGCACGCACCAGCTAACCCATGCTTATTGAGGAAGAAAAAAATTATATTAGCTTCACACTCGAGTGCCAAGCCTAAAGGAAGAGGAAGAGTGGAGCAGGGCAGCCTTCCTTGTTTCTCTTTATTTTTCTCACTTTCTTCTTCTCTTTGTCTCTGTTTCTTGTATCTTCGTTTTAGTAACTGCTTCCATCTGTATCTTCTTTCTTACTCTGTTTTTTTCTCACTTTTTGTGCATTTCTTTCTTTTTAACTCTTTATTATAGCTGTCTAAATACCGTATTTACTCACAAATAGGCGCACTTTCTTTTTTGGAAAATTCGGCTGCAAGGTAGGGGTGCACGCATTACGTGGGGTAAAATTTCCGGAAATTTTATTTCCGACTACAGTGTAGACCACGGATAACATATACGTCACTGAACTCACGAATATCCACACTACAGCTGAAACAACCTCCTTCATAGGCTCAAAACGTGTTGAGCACGCAATCTTGCATGTCCAAAAATCGAGGCATGCAATGCAATGTGCATTCAAATTTCCAAAAAGAAACATCGAAAGACCTGTGTTGCCCATGAAATAACACGAGAAAAAAAGAAAGAAAAACTCTGAAAAGAAAGCACCATTGCCGAAATTCGCCGATTGCGCTTGAGGCCACCCAGATTATGCGCATTATCACAACTGAAACTTATGCGCTGAGCGGTACCAATCGTTTCAATTCATGGGCTCGCACCCTATAACCAAGACAGCGATTGAATCGAAAACCGCCATATGAGTGTTACCTACGCCACCTAAGCCCCCTCTTCAAGCAGAGCCACTGATAGAAGTTACGTTGCTTCCATACAAAACAGCAGGTTTGATGGCCCGCAACTGCCACCTAAAAGCACCAACAGTGATTAGGCCTAGCAGACAGTTCGGCATGTTGTCGCGAAAAGTTTGAACAAGACGTGAAATTTGGGCTTCAAAAAGATGGCATACACTGATCCAAGAGCAGCGCGCCTGATGCAATGTTTAGGTTCGTGGTCAGCAAATCAACGGCGACAAAAGTCCGCCAAGCTTGTGCAAGTCCGCGTAATAGCAACAAAGGCAAAAGCTTGTGTCATAAAGCTGAAAAGCTTTTAAATTTGTGGATGAGGTAGCAAACGCAATGACGACACATTTCCCAACAGGATCGAAACTGTGAATGCACACCGATGAGGACGCGATCGCGAGCTCCATATGGAGCGTGCGTGGCCGGCTAGCGGCCAGAGCCACGCCAGCACTGGCGCAATGGTTACTCCGACAACCAGAAAACCGCCCTTCTACCACAGTGGGAGAGCCCGAAGAGCTGGCGCAAAGCTGCTGCGGTCTTTTTTTTTTCTTTGCTTCAGTTAACGTAAAAAGGCGGCGAATTGCAACTGTGCAAATACGCTACAGTACTACTGATCACGGCCAAGTTCAGGGTGTGCTTATTTTGCGTGGATAAAAAAAAACCAATTTCTCTGTATCAACCGGGGGTACGCCTATCATGTGAGTAAATATGGTACCACAGTTCTGGATGTGAATTGAGGTTTTCAGAGACTCCCATAAGTGGCTCCACGAACCCATAGGGTACGCAATCCCCATTTGAAAATCACGGCCCTAGAGAGTTCAAAAAATCAGACGTTGACTGCCTTCCAGAAGTTTCAATATTTCGAACAGTAAAATTTGTGGTGTGAGTCTAGTCTTATAGCTAGCACTATTTGAGAAACATTTGAATATTTGCAGGCCCTACTTTTTTATATCTTTATTCCCTTCATTTCTATCCTTATCTGTGTTTTTTTCTATCACTTTCTCTCTCTCTCTGTTTTTCTGTTATGTATCTTCGTGTCTATTTTAATCTTAGTTTTTCTATTGCTTTGTTGGTCTTTGGCATAACGGACACTTCTTAGAGTCACTATTGCTGCAGTACACAGGTGTCATGCAGGAAAGTGTCCCAAGCTTGGGAAAGGCTTATCAAATATAATAAGATGCAACACACATTTCGTTGCGTCATTACATACGCATGCACACGTGTTTCAAGACGATCATTGGGGTATAAAAATTTGGTTGCTAATCATGAACAGCCGTCTTCATGTTGCTGTAGCACCGAATGTAATGAAGTACGGACATGCGGCTTGACCATGAGAGAAGTGCTACGACGAGCGACCTCTACCCCCTCTGCTAAGTAGCCCTTGTGGTAGGAAAACCTGTGTCCAATTGTCGCGACTCCTGCCATGAAAACACCCTCTTTTGAGAAACATTACATGCAGAGAAACATTATGTAGCAATGGTATATGTATACAACTTACCAACACTAGTTGCTTTGTTGACTGTGTCATACAGTTGAACCCCTTTATTAGAGGCACTGATGTAAGGTACAAATGGGCATATAAGAAACACCAGTGTGCCTACAGTAAAATATGAATGGATAAACAGATGCATACGAGGTACCCTGTTTATGAGAGAGATCTCATATAAAGGACCAAAATTGCTGCTTGAAGCATAGCTCTTATGAAGGATTTAACTGTACATGAAAACCTCTAATAATTCATACTTTTGATAATTCAAACGAATTCCCGAAATTACCTTGAGTTTGAAATATCGAGGGTCAACTGTAGCTTCACCCATTCACAGAAGTCAGATGAGGGATTCGATGAAATTTAGCTTCACATATGCAGTCTATCTTCTTTAGATCAGCCTACTATAGACTTGTTTGCAATAAGTTATATCTCATTCTATTTCAATAGCCAAATCGGTCTTCCTAACCATAAAGCATTGCTTTCTTTTTTGCAGGTGCCATTCTGGTCTTCCTTCCCGGGTTTGATGACATGAGCAGACTGAGAGATAAAATTCTGGCAGACAAAGGTTTTTCTGAACAGAAGAGGTAGAAACATTTTTTGCATTATTTTTATCTACGATTTACAAACTAGGCATCAGTGTCAAGAAGAATTTTCGTTTAATATTTTTGTGTATACGTATCCCGAAAGAGTACGGCCACTAGCGTGGGTCTAGTCTTAGCGAGCCGCAGGGCATGCGTTAACCATCGCCGTGGTGAGAACACGATACTTACTGCTTAAGGTCGCAACACTTTGTTGTCTTTGGCAACAACAAAACTCAGTACAGCTCGTTGCAAAGGCGCGGCAGGAAAGCAAATGGGCATATCCACGCCACGAGCGAGAGGCACTACACAGGCCGCGAGCACATCTCCGTAGTAAAAGTGATTCACGGAGACAGCGGGACAAAGGTCTGGTTGCTTGAGTAAGGGCAAAGGCGCTCGCGTTGGCTTCCGAGAGATACGGGTCGGCGCAGTTTGACTAGAATACCGTACTAGGCACTAGGACACCGTACCGCTTTTCGGCTTAGCGTACACAAAGAGGCAGCAAAAAGGTAAGCGTTCGCCTCGGCGCGAGGCGTCGTTGCAAAGTTCGATGAGCCCCAAACAATGGGAGTCGACGGACGAAAAAGGGAATGCGTGCTCACCCTCAGCTGTCCCGGATAAATCTGACTCACACCCCGAAGCGTGCGTTAAAACGTCCCGAGAGACTTTACGCACGGCGCCACAGTCGGCATCCGCTATTAAGTCATCATCATCATCATCAGCCTGACTACGTCCACTGCAGGACAAAGGCCTCTCCCATGTTCCGCCAGTTAACCCGTTCCTGTGCTTGCTGCTGCCAATTTATACCCGCAAACTTCTTAATCTCATCTGCCCACCTAACCTTCTGTCTCCCCCTAATCCGCTTGCCTGCTCTGGGAATCCAGTTAGTTATCCTTAACGACCAGCGGTTATCCTGTCTACGTGCTACATGCCCGGCCCATGTCCATTTCTTCTTCTTGACTTCAGCTATGATATCCTTAACCCCCGTTTGTTCCCTAATCCACTCTGCTCTCTTCTTGTCTCTTAAGGTTACACCTACCATTTTTCTTTCCATTGCTAGCTGCGTCGTCCTCAATTTAAGCTGAACCCTCTTTGTAAGTCTCCAGGTTTCTGCTCCATAGCTAAGTACCGGCAAGATACAGCTGTTATATACCTTTCTCTTGAGGGATAGTGGCAATCTACCAGGTAGATTCCCGCTATTAAGTGAGAGGGGTTAAACGTCACTCTTCGCTCCCCCAGCGCAGCAGACAGTGGAGGAGAAGAGTCATGTCGGGACATGAGAACGGCAGCAAGAGGCGGCCAAGCCCGCTCAAAGGCGGGGGGCTAGCCTCGATTCCCAGAATATACATGCGCAGTAGAAACAAACATGATATTATGGGCTGTCTCCACGACACTGCTAATGTTTTTTCAATGCCAGTGCAAACGCGTGCTTCTCAACGAGAGCTGTTGTTGTTAGTTCATGAAGTGGTTGCGATGCGATGCTACATCGTCACACGTGCCTCTGAGTGCTTTCTCCCGGAGATGCTAGACTTGTTTCCCACTCCAATATTGTACTTCTTTCAGATTTGTTCCTTCGTGCTTTTTCTTTGTGGCTCGAAGCAATGTTGCCGCTGCATCACGGAGCAATGCATGCCATATAACGTTGCAATGATGCTTCCTGATTGACTGCCTGCTTAGCGGCATGAACAGCGGCACCCTATCTCAAAACATCGTATCTTTTACAGAGCTAGCATGACCGCCAATATCCTGAACAAGAGGAATACATGACACCGCTCCACAGATCTGTACACAACTGAACAAAAAATTCCTTCATATGATTTTCGTCATGAGGCACTGCATGAAGGGTTCTCTCTCCCATGACCTCAAAGCACAGGCGAAGGCTAGGCGATGGGTGAGAGAAGGAAAGGGCTAGAGGAGAGGGTGGTAAACTGCTGGATTGGGCACATCTGGCTGGCATTGACAAAATAGAGGAGGAGTTGGTCTTTTAGGGGCGAAGCTCCTCTTAGCCTAACCTTGTCATGCGTCATGCGTAACCGAGAAAAGAAGAGACGAGAAAGAAAAGAAGGGAGTATTTCCCGAACGGTATAATAGACAGCACTGTCTCATAGAAGTACATACAAACTTCGGTTGAGTGAGGATATTGTAGATGGCGTTGTACCACTACTCTCCGATTGGCTGCTGTACGGGCTGTGCCTGGGTAGATGGAGAATCTGTCTCCTGGATAGTCGTCATATGTGGCGGATCGTTGGTGAGGCATGGGCAAAGCAAAGTGACGGGCGCATTGAAGGCACTTGCGCTTGGCTTCCTTGGCTCGCTTCTCATCAGTGTTACCCGCGCGCCGTCTGCATTCTCGAACGCGATTGGACGCATGCACGGATGGATGAACACACGGATGGATGGATGGACATCATTCACTCTGTGGATATGTTGACTTTTTTTTTTCAGGCTTATATCGTAGTGCTGTGTGTTCTTTTATTTTTATGTATTTATTTGCACTTTTGTGAACTGCTTAGACACACCCTTGGCATGGCTGCTGTACTTACACCAATTCCAGTAATTGAACATTCATGCTGGTTTTTTATTTTTGCAAAATTTTCAGCAATATCTTAAAGTACCCTTGTCACTTTTCAGGAGGTATGTACTGTACATGTTACACTCAAATGTGCAGTGTAGCGAGCAGCGGCTTGTCTTCAACACAATGCCACCTGGAGTAAGAAAAATTGTGAGTTTCTGTTTTTACTTCATGAGGTTCAAATCTCTTTCCTATAAACCAAAGACAACTAATAAGTCGATGTTCATTGTTTAAATAGCAGTCCAGAACTCTCGCAGTGCTAAGGAAGTGCTTATTTGGAATAAAATCACATTTTAAGTGGTCTGCATCGCGTCAGAGCACTTGGAATCCACCCATGCTTGATAGCGGTCTTTCAGACGTCACTGTTACCGCGCCCAAAGTTGCTTGCCTTTACTATGCGGCCATCAACACCAGTAGCAGCAGAGCGAAAGTAGCAGGAGCCACAGTAGCAACAACGACCATTGCTCAATTTTCTGCAATCTCGGAGGCCATGATTCTGCTTGCTTGGTTCAACTGGGCCCTGCTAAATGGCTCCATCTATCCAGCCTAATTAGCCAAAAACTGAGCTGTTGAACCACTCACGCCATTCCCTATAATAACGCCAGGCATTTCTTTTTTCTATAAATCAAACAGAAACTGGCAAGCAGCATTTTATTACCTCTCGTGATGCACGGAAAGTTTTTTTATTGCAGCTAGTTTGATTACTAGTGATTAATTGTAGTCGAATGCTCCCACATCATCGGAATAATTTTTCGAATGTGCCACTCGTGGCGCATGTCGTGTAATACGTTTAGCTTAATTTCTTGGTCCATACTGGCACGATTCATATAGGCACAGCAGTTGCGGTTCTGCAACAAGCGCGCAGCTAAAACGCAACTGACGGAGTTGCGGGAATGGGAAGCAGGTGGTGTTCAAAGCAGTGCATCAGCGATAACATATGCCACGTGAGATTGGGAGGGGGCATGAGAGGGGCACTGAGCGAGAGGGCAAAGCGGCTTGGCAGAGGATACCATGGAGGGTAGTGCACGTGAGAGCGAGTCCCGGTTTTGATAATCAAACTCGTCCAACTCCGCTATTACGGCACCGTTTCTAAAAATTCTCAAGGCTCCGTGTTCATCGTACACTCGTGCACAATTTCCCCACCACAATTGAATTTCGACCTCTGGGTGGTTTGGGGGCCCTTTAAATATTATTCAGAGCCTTTTTCAGTAAGTTTGAATGGTGTGCAATTATTGGAAACTTTTCAAATAGCGATATTTATTATACAAAAAGCAGAAGTTTAGTGGAAGATGGAAGCTTGAAGAGATGAAAAATTCATGAGCATGAGGTGTATTTTGAGGCAATGTTTTGATAAGCGGACTTGAAAAAGGCAAGTCTGCTTCTTAAAATGTTGCCTCCAGTGACACCCTGCATTCACAAATGTTTCAATATGTATAAAGTCCCCTTCGTCTTTGATTCATCTACGATTATTTATCAATATATGTTGTTACGATGCCAGAAATACAGGAATGAAATCATTGACCGAGAAAAATGGTAACTGATTCAGTCCTTCAATATTGTTTGCAGGTTCTGTCAACCAATATCGCTGAGACAAGCATTACCATCAGCGATGTCACTTTTGTCATTGACTCCGGCAAGGTTAAAGAGGTAGGTGTGGTATTGTGTATAATTAAAGACCCATTTTTTGGACAGGATTATTAATATTATTCACAAAAACCGGAGGATGGAGAAAGTATTTGCCATTTGTTTGCTTACCTGTGATTTCAAAAGTGTGTTAATTAAGCTTATGCAAATATTAAATTTTAGGTTCAAAGTGAATATTGATTTGGTTGCATAATTTTGAATCAAGTTTGAATAGTATAATATCACATATTACAAAGAAAAGTAAACATATTTGTTAGACCCAACTAACCTGCACAATACTATATTTAAAATGTAAACAAGGTATGTGCAAATGTCATTCCTTTGGGATCAAGGGAAGTCTAAGCAACTTTAAATAGTAGCAGGATTAGACTTTCAGTAGAAGGCAAGTGACAACCTGTAAAATGCATTGCATTTTAAAATTCAGCATACTTGGAGCACATAAGGCGGTATAAGATTTAAGAGAATATAACGCTGAATCAATGTGAAGCTAATGTTTAACCTTGAAGTGGGACTTTGCGGCAGTGCAGATTTTCCCTGGATAAAGGTGTTAGCGGTATAGCATTCCTTCACTGCAGTAAAACCATATTTGTAGGTGGAGGTTCATGTTCATGTGAAAATTTTCTCGTTCATGTGAAAATTTTCGATAATTTAATTATTCTCGAAGTGCATTTGTATATTCAAAGTACTCAAACATCCGCCAAAGTTTAGTTTTAATGCTTTATAGAGTCTGTATTGTTTTCCCAACATCCTCCTCAGCTGTAAACACTTAGTGTTTCGATAATGATGCTCAAACACCTTGACGTATTTGTTTTTGAAAACTTCAATGTATTTAGTGTAAAGCAACTGCCCTAGTTTCTTTCAGTTTTCTTACTTTTTGCAATTTCCATCCATCAGATTTGGTTTGGCCAATGCAAGAACCCTAAAAGCTCACTTTCATGTTATCGGGATCTTTTCACCCACAGAGGCATAAATTTTCTTGCCCATATATTAAAAAGACTGGCTGTGAAGCTGTGAAATTTATGTGGCTGTTCATTCCCAATGTCTTATGGCTATGAAATTAAACCTCTCACCATGAGTTAGAAGGTTTAATTCGTAGGTACAGGAAAATATAAACAGGAACAACATGCAAGGATTGCAAGATGCTTACAAGCTTTTACTTCTGTCACCCGCCATTGTGGTGTAGGGGTTATGGTGCACGACTAGTGAGTCGCAGGTCATGGAATCGAATCCGGGCACTGCAGCCGTAATTTCAGCGAAGGCAAAAATGCTTGATGCTCGTGTACTTGGATTTATGTGCACGTTAAAGAACCCCAGTAGGTCGAAATTTCTGAATCCCTCCACTATGAAGTCTCGTAACCATATTGTGGTTTGGGACGTCAAACGGAAAGAAATTTTTTTTGTATACGTTCATAATTGGTCTGCTGCCCTCTACTGCTACATTTTGACTGAGCACTACCCGGTAGCAGGATGTTTAATCCGGATTCCAATGTATCTGTGCTTGTATGCACGTGCAGAAGTCCTTTGACAGCCTGACAGGCACCAGCCTGCTCAAGTCCGTGTGGGTGAGTCAGGCGAGTGCCATGCAACGTCGAGGCCGGGCAGGCCGCACCCACCCGAACGGTGTCTGCTTCCACCTGATGAGCCGGCAGCGCTTCTGCAGCCTGGCTCCCTTCCAGCAGCCCGAGCTGCTGCGTCTGCCGCTTCAGGAACTGTGCCTCCAGGTGAGAAGGCTTCTGCAGTGTATTGTCTGTGGCCGCAACATTTGGGATTCCATGCCCACTGTCAACCTGAGAGTTTCGTGCCAGCTCCACCTTCAGAGCCACACTGCACCAGCATTATGTGCTTTCATGCTTTCTGAAAGAATGAGAAAATCTTTCTTCTTCTGTTATGTCACAAAAAAATGCAAGTGTAATGGGCTGCCACATCTACGCTAATCCGTCGGGTGTTGAAGAGATATTTGTGCAATGACGCTCTATTATTGCTGACCATGGCATGCATTACTAACAGTACCAAGATAAAAGGTACTACAGTAAAGCCTCGTTAGTTAGAAATTACTGGGAGATGAGAAGTCTTTGGATTGAGCAGGTTTTCAAATTAACAGAACATACAAAAAGTTAGATGCTAGGAACTTGGAATTATTCAAAGTATAATCAGGGCTGGTCTTTTGCTCTGTTTACTAGTTTGTGGCTCCAAGAGTTATGTTTTCTAGCAATACAAGGTCACATTTTTCCCGCAAACAAGGTGGACCGCCGGCCCTTGTTGCTACGGTCAAAAAAAATAAATGTCGTGATCAATTAAATTGCGCGCCTGCGAAAAATAAGACATCCTTACTGCAATACATTAGTGATACGCGGGCAGCGTGTCAACTGTTTGTTGCTGCATTGGCACGTCATGACGCGACCATTTGCAAATTTTTTATAGTAAAATGAAGACATTAATAATAGACAGTGTGACCAAGTTCACCATGTTCCGGCTGCAAACATCATTGAAGCTTTCGAACTGAATTTACGGAGTAGACGTAGCAGGCAAGAACGCTGCCAGCAGTGCAAGTGCGCAAATATCTGAAGCAACCGGAACTCGGAGGTTCGCATACATCGCGAATTTCACCAGATATTAATTTCTTTATATTCCCTGAAAAAATGGGTAAGTCATGATGCGCTGTTGTTGTGAGAAGCATGCGACATGCTGCCTGCGCATGATTGCTGTGCTGCAGTGAAGCATGTCTTGTTTTCCGCAGGCGCACATTTCAGTTGATTACGAAACCGTTTTTTGTTTTTTTTTACAATTTTATTTTTCGTGCTGGAAGTATCAAGGCTGGAGTAATCCAGCTGTCTCTCAGTAGTATTGCTACAGTACATTGCCTAATGGCTCTTAAGGGCTGTCATTTCTGCGGTTTTGAGGTGAAATCTGGATCGGGAATGGGTGCACTGCACCCAAAGTTTTCTAATTAACCAAACTGGTGCTGACCGCCCCTTAAAATTATCTGCTCAAACTTATATTACAAAATACAGGACAGCTGTAATACTTTGAATTAAGTGGGATTCAAAATAACTGAGTTCAAAAAATGAGGTTTTACTATACGCTTCATACATCAGGTGTAGACGAACTTAGGCTAAGAAAGACCTCCATAACTACACCACCCATAATGTGATTTCTTTTTTTTCTTAGAATAATAAGGGAAGTTGCAGTGTGTCTTGTAAATAAACAAAGGTCATTATTTATAAGGTTGCTCAGGATCGCATAGCATCTCTTTGTTTTCATTTTTTGGCCTCCAAGATTATTTCAGCCCCCCCCCGCCGTGGTCTAGTGGCTAAGGTACTCGGCTGCTGACCCGCACGTTGCAGTATCGAATACCGGCTGCGGCGGCTGCATTTCCGATGGAGGCGGAAATGTTGTAAGCTCGTGTGCTCAGATATGGGTGTACGTTAAAGAACCCCAGGTGGTCAAAATTTTCGGAGCCCTTCACTATGGCGTCTCTCATAGTCATATGGTGGTTTTGAGACGTTAAACCCTATATATCAATCAATCCTAGATTATTTCAAGTGACGCGCAACCAGGGTCACTTGCAGAGGCCATATTCAGTGCTACGAATTATTTGAAGTGTGACAAGTGCTCGTCACAGCTCTGCACGGGCCGATTTATCCAATCCGCGCCCGGACCGGCCCGAAAACTTCATGCTCCGGCCCGCCCGAGCAGGGCCCGGGGTTTTTCAATACGGCCCGTGTCCGGCCCAGGCCCGAATCGTCTGGGGCCGGCCCGACCCGTGTCAGCCAGTTTTGCCTTGAACATAAACGAGGCACAGCCCACTCTCCGGTTATTGTGAAGGTATCTTCCTCACACAAAAGATATTCTAGTACCGTATTTACTCTATTCTACCGTACCCTCGATGGTAACGCGCACCCGATTTCCACGACGAAAAAAAAGAAAAAGTAATGCATCGATTGCAACGCGCACCCGATTTTCTCGCTGGCCCGCACGATCACACCACTTGAAAAAATGACTCCTTTTGAAAGCGTCTTCCATTTATATATGAGGTACGGGGGAAGCTTGTGCCCATCTGACGTGTAACAGAGCATTGCCGTCTCTGTAGTTTTACCGTGGAATGATGTCGGCACGCTAACTTGCTTCGCCCCCTTCTTCACGACAGTTGTGGTGCCAGGCATGTCGAAGTAAAGAGGCGGCTAATTGGCATTCCCGATTTGCCCAAGCAGGTAGTTGGTGTTGTGCCACAAGTTTAGGACGAACCTCTGAAAACTGTGAAGCTTTTTATCGTCCTCCTCCGCAAAACTTTTCGCATATGCCCATTCACCTTCGGAGGGAAAAGCCTTTCCTCTTCATAAAGTTAGTTAGCCAGCACCTGCTCGCTTTAAACTGGCTCCGCATTAGACCTTTTTTGGTGGTGGTAGTGGTTAGAAGATGAGAAAAGGCACCTAATTTCTGCAACCCGGTCAAGAGCACGGCGCAGAACCTGCGGGGAAGGAAAAAGGGAGGAAAGTGGAAAGAAGAAAAAAGGTTAAGTGAGCAGGGGCACGGTCGTCATCAGCATGAACAGCAGTCCGGAAGCAAGGGTAGGGGTGGCAAGGGGGCCCGTCCTCAGCGGTAGTTAGACTTTTTTCTAAGGCTAACTGCATAACCAGCCCTTGGAGCAGTTGTGTCATCACGGGCCGCTCGCTGCTCAAGCACATACTCGCCGAGCAGCTCTTCAATTTGCGGAAACCGACCCTCCTGTGGTTCACTGAAGCCTTTGCGTGAAGCTTCGCTCTCGACTATCTTCTGCTTTTGTTTCCGCCAGTCCCGCACGCACGTTTCGGGAACTCCGAACGACCGCGATGCGACCTGATTTCCGTCCATTTCTGCACATGCGATGACTTTTCTTTTAAACGCGGCATCGTGGTGCACTCAAGTTTTTGGAGTCGGCCCTTCCATGCCGTCGATGCTAATGCACTACAAGATGACAAACTCCTCAGCACACGTACGAAGTGCCGCATATGGGAAAGGCAGAAATGGCCGACGCACGTAGGGGGCGGCCATTTTGGAAATGCTGATGGCAATAGAATGACCGTATTCATTTTTTTTTTTTCGTACTCGATTGTAACGCGCATGCGATTTATCAACTCGCTTAACCGGAAAAAAAGGTGCACGCTAGATTCGAGTAATTACGGTAAGTGTTCTGGAACTTCTTTTAGTGTCACGACTTTATCTAGTTCACTTTGTGTACTTTCGGTTATTTATGCCCATAACACTTTTGGGAAATAATTGCAAGGTAATATATAGTATATTTGTAGCCATAGCTGGCTGTCTCATGTACGCACTGCTAACCACTCAATCTTATTTTTGCATTTCAAAGAACCACTACAAAATATACCCACATAATGTGGGAAAAATGTCAGACACTTATAGTTTGAGTCTATATAAATTGCGTGCGAGCCGTAGCTGTCGAGTAAAACTAACACTTCTCCTGCAAACATGATGTATTATGGCTATTTTTGTGCAACATACACTTCGACGAGAAGAGACAGACACCACGGCACAATTTATAACGCCATGCAATAACAAAATCACAGCATATACACGGAGTGAATGATGATGAGGGGGGCGAAGCGTTTGTCTATGCGTTCGTCTATGCGTTCGTTGGTCTGTCCGTCCATGCATCTGTTCGTCTGTCCATTCGTCAGTCTGTCCGTGCACGCGTGATTTCGTCCGTCCTTCTGTGTATCCATCCGTGCATCTGTCCATCCTTCCATTCGTGCGTTCATCTGTCCAATTGTGCACAGTTCTATCGACCAACACCATCTAGAAGCTGAGTCGAGAAATGGCAACTAGACAGTGTCATCTATTCTACTATTCAGGACAATCTGCCAGTTACGCTTGATGCAGGACAAGGTTAAACTAAAGGTACCTTCGCCCCTAAAAAACATGCTCTAGCTGTTTCTGGGAGGGATACACCATTCTGGGCAGCGTTAAAAAATTAAAGCTGTCGTGTTGGCTCCTCGGCTGTCTCCAAGGTATACTATGTGTTACAAGAAGGTTATTTTCCCCACCCTTCTTTTCTAGTAGTCACCACTGCAGTTCCGTAATCTGTCAAAGTGAGCTACACCAATTAGCAAGCGTGTCATCATTTTCGTTTTAGGAGCGAAGCTCATTAGGGTGGGGGTCGTTCCCTCTGTAGTAGTAGTAGTAGTAGTAGTAGTAGTTGTAGTTGTAGTATGTAGCTATCTCTAGTTTTTTTTAATTGCTCAATAGAACGCATTGTGTGTATATGCCCTTGGAAATATCAGTAGATGGCGTTGGTGGTTTTCGTATAGTTCACGATTTCGTGTAGTTGAAAGACAGACAGGACGGACGATTTCGTATAGTTGACGGGTGGACAGACAGACAACCAGACAGACGGGCGGACGCTTTGCCCCACTCATCATATTCACTCCGTGGCTATGCTGCAAATTTGTTCCCTGAAGACGCCTATCGCGTCGTCTTCTTGTGACGGCCTTCGATCTTTGAAAGTGTGAAGTCTTTATGGCAAAATCTCTCTGGGGCTTTTATTGGCGGTCAGCGCAGTGCCGTCTACATTCAAACAGTCCAAGAACAAACACGATTGTCCCCCACTACCGGGTCTTCGTTTCTTCAGCCCGTGTCATGAGCAATTTTTTCACCATTCATCTCAATAGTTTCACTATCTTTTCCTTAACATTATCCACAGGCAGGCTTTTACAGTCCATATCATCCTTTGACCAATCTTTCCCACAATAAATAAAGCTCACCTACAATTTTCGCATTATTTGCATGAGCGTAGAGAAGTCCTAAAACAATGTGTCTTCAGTGTGCAGGTGTCTCAAAAGCCTTAACTTCAGTGTTTAGTGTTACTTCCTTATCGAAATATGGAACTGCGTGCGATAAAAGAATGTAAAGGCCCCAGAGATGTAATTGCCGCAATTACACTTCAATAATGTGCACTGTGCTAACATGCACACGTTTAACAATGACAATACGCCCTTTCACGGTAAAGCCTCCCCCGTAGCCACAGGCGCAAACACTGTAGACATTGTCGACTTGAAGCAGCTTCGATCGGGACACGCTGTGTTTCAAAAAGGTGTTGTAGCTGTTGAGCGAGAAAATCCATGTGGATTTTTCAGAAAGAAAAGGCTCTTAGTTGCCAAAAAATTGGTCATGTACTGTGATCAGGACAGAGTCGTCATGGTTCAGGCTCAGGACCCCAGACCAGGACGAATTTTTCAGCTACTAAGAGGCTTTTTTTTTTTCTGAGAAATACGTACAAATTTCTTTGTGGCTTCTTGCTGCAAACTGGTGGTTGTATTCTGTTCCTCTCTTAACCCTTCCCCACCTTGCAGGTTTCCGCAGAACTTATTTGCACTATCTGTTGAGCGAGCATTGAGTGAAAATCGCGCCCATGCATCACAATTACTGCGCACTTGTTAAAACACGTTGGTGTCGTCTTTAGTGACCGCTACCGTTCACATAGCTCAGCGAGACTGCCATGAACGCCACCATGACGACGGCATCGACGCAGGTCACTCGAATTGAGGTGCGCATAATGCTGATATGGTGGCAGCCATTCAGGCCAGTTGCAGTCTTCTGAAGTTGTTGCATTGTCGAAGGGAGAGCTGACTCCAAGAATGTCTTTGTCTTCAGCTTTCTCTTCAAGTTGGAGATAGAGGGGTACTCTTTTGCTCCGTTCGAAGATGCTACAAATACAACGGGGGTTCTTGTCATACATGTTTCGCGCATTACTTATGCCATTTTGTCAGTGGTGATCTCCTCCACATGTCCATTTCAGATGCGAAGCAGCTTAGGGTGGAGCTCAATCCGGTGTGCTGCGTCACCACCCTTATAGCGCATGCGCGTCCACTCCTCCTCCTTCGCCTCGCAACGCTGACGCAGGCACCGTCTGCTAGCGAGTTTGTTGATTTAAAAAAAAAACGACTGATTGTGCTGCGTAACCGTTCACAGGCCACACTGTATATATTGGCTCTGGATCTTGACCTCCAAGGTAATGCTGATGGGAGGTTTATTGTGTGTGCTGTTAACAAATATTCCCAGCGTGCACGTTATCTGAAAGCGAACTGCGGGTCTTTGTGTTCATTCGGAGTCTTCCATCTCTCATTGCCCATTAGCAGCGATCAGCATGTTCCAGTAGGAAACACTGGTCCACGACTGTGTGCTTTGTGCCGCCCCAGGTTTCTCTTCGGTGCAACGCCACACTGAGCGCCAGCGTCAACGTCGCCGCCAGTGTAAGCGTTAGCCCCATTGCTTCGCATCTTCATATGGTTCCCTTTTGCAGGACATGGTGTAATTATTTTTTCATGGATGTCACAAGGTTGAGTTGTTCCTTTCTTAAAGAAATGACAACACTGCCATGATCCTTCGCTGATGTCATGGTAGCACAACTTCCTCGTGACCATTTCAGAAATCGACGGCCTCGTTGAATCCTCCTATGTCGATGTCCTGCTGCGGGAATTTCTTTTCGGCAATACCACTGATATCGGGCTCATAAACCCGTTGTGACAAGTAAGAGAAATCCTCTCATAAACATCTCTTCTCAAGACGCAGATATGACTGCTCGCATAATGTCCAACTTGCTCCTCGACGGATGATGGTCTATGGAAAGTCGAATGGTGATTAACGCTCTCTTATCCGACACCGAATGGGCTCCGCTGTTATTGGGCATTACTTTTCAGAATCAGTCCGATCCAATCAGAAGACTTACTTCGGGTTCGTAGGTGGCGCTTGGGAAAACAACTGCAACTGCCAATGGTTGACTTTCTGCAATGACGACTTTGTGAAGATTGTGCGTATTTGAAGATTCAGTGATGTCGCCGCAGATGAAAGGATTGACAGCTTCTATATGCACTACTTACGAGAGTAATTACAGAAATTAAAACAAATAACCTTTTAAGCACTGGAAATAGTGGGTCGAGTCAAATATGCGAATTAAAGTTCTTCCTACGAATAGTCTGTAGCCACTTGAAAAATTTTCTAAACGCGGCCACTGGTAATGACCGCGAGTGATGAAATCTGGGTGATTCAGTTAACGAAACCGAAACCGGTGCACCAAAGAGCCCATCTGCTATTCACTTCGAAAACACCCTCGATGATAAGTTAAAGGTTGTAAATTGTGTAAAAAGCTAACTGTTTAATATATTTAATTACTGCCGTAAATATTGTTTGTGCACGTTTGAAGATGCCTTCTGCCAAAGTAAACGGAACACCGCAGGCAGCATGCGGATGCATTCTTTCTGTAATTTCTTCAAACACCTGGTATATGAGACTCGGGCCAACTGCGGAACTGCCCCAGGCTCGAGCTCGACCCGAGTCTGTAACTCATGGGCCCGAGCCCGGCCCGGGCCCGATCCAACAATGCCTTGCCCGGCCCGGCCCGCAGGGCTGGTTGGGCCCGGGCTTTCAGGCCGGCCCGGGCCCGTGCAGTGCTCCAGGGCACGTTTTTCTGACTGAACTTGCCTAGCTCCACAGCACTGCACCTAATGTATGAAATGGAGTGTAAGAAAGAAAGACGCAACATTTCCACCATGACAGCCATTGACTGCTCTGCCTGCCCAAAGGCCATTAAGAGGTCATTAAGGTGCAAGGATGCACTCCTAATACAGCAATATTTGTTTGTTTGTTTTGCCTGTGATGAGAGCACTTTGCCTCTTTTTACTTCGCTGCATACCACTTCTGTGTAGTCTTTTTGCTGTGCCAATGGTGGCAGACCGGTCTTATTGAGTGAAAAGTGTGAAAAGGTTTGCTGAGTGACTGCCAGGACAACAGGCTGGCAAGGCATGCTGGTACAATCTGCAAGTGTGGATGCTTGGGATAGATCTTATGAGAATGGAGCTCCTGCTTCAGTCCTTTGAAAACATACTACTATTCACAGTTGACACTGGTTAAACAGAGCCTGCTGGGACCAGGAGAGTGTGTTCGGCTTACTGAGAGATGAACACGAATTCAGCAACCAAGCCAATCATGTTAGGGGCAGTTCAGTTTGAAATATTTTTGTTCACAAAGAGTTTATTTTATATGAAAATGCTCAATCACTCTAGCAGGTGAAAATTATGCACAGCAAGGTCAGAGCGCAAATGGCCTCGCTGTACGTGAGTATATCAGCAGCTGATTCATCTAATAAGAGAGATGTAGTTCAAGCAGTTGCTCACTATCATAGGGACTTTTTTAAGTTAGAATAAATATTTTGTAATGGTATATTATTCATTAATTTCATTGTATAAATTCAGTAAGAATTAATTTCAGTAAGATTCTTCCGTAGTGTGCCAAAAATTCATAGCTTTTAGTGGGCACCTTCAGTCCACTTTTTGTTATTTTTATGATCAGTGAGTTTTTATACAAGTAAAGCCACAGTGCAATGTCAGTTCTAGCATACAGTTGACACTGCAATGAAGGCACAGTGAAAAGCTGCCCACGTAGTGGCAGTGATTTTGTGGGGGACATCTCATGACGCAGTGCCCTAAATACAAGCGTGCATATATACAGAAAATTTTGCAGGTTTTTCATGATGTACAAATATTCATCTTATCCCTCTGCAAAGTAATCTGTACCCTCCACCATATGTATGTCCATGAACTGTTTTACCTGAAATTTACACTTTGTTCTTGTGTTGCAGGCAAAGCTCCTTGTTCCACCTAATGTTCCTATTGCCGACTTTTTGGCTCGAGCTCCAGATCCTCCTGCATTCTTAGTCACAAGGACAGCTGTCACCCTCCTGAAGGTAATTCTTCCAAGTCCTCACCAGAGTGTCCAACCATAAGAATAGCTGTTCTTGTTTCTTAGGTGGCGTGGCCACATCTTCAACAAAGTTTGTACTGTTAGTATCGCAGATGTGTTGTGATGTGTGCTGGGTTGCGTCTAACATATATGAGATTGTGCATAGATTGAACTTGGACTGGACAGTGTCCAAATAACCTGGCCACTTTGTAAACGAGAAAAGGGCTTTACCAAAGCACTTTGCCACTTACCGTATTTACTCGATTCTACCGCGCCCTCGATTGTAACGCGCACCCGATTTCCACCGCGAAAAAAAAAAAAAAAAACGTAAGACGTCGATTGCAACGCGCACCGATTTTTCTCGCTGGCCCGCACGATCACACCACTCGAAAAAACGACTCCTTTCGGGAGCGTCTTCCATTTAAATATGAGGTACGGGCGAAGCTTGTGCCTATCTGACGTGTAACAGAGCATTGCCGTCACTGTAGTTTTACCGTGGACCGATGTAAGTACGCGAACTTGCTTCACCCCCTTCTTCTCGACGGTTGTGGTGCCAGGCATGTCGAAGTAAAGAGGCGTCTGATCGGCATTCCCAATTCGCCCAAGCAAATAGCCGTTGTTGCGCCGCAAGTTTAGGACGAACCTCTGAAAACTGTGAAGCTTTTCATCGTACTCCTCCGCAAAACTTTTCGCATATGCATGTTCCCCTTCGGAGGGAAAAGCCTTTCCTCTTCATAAAGTTAGTTAGCCAGCACCTGCTGGCTTTAAACTGGCTCCGCATTAGACCTTTTTCTAAGACTTATTGCATAGCCCGCACTTGGAGCAGTTCTGTCGTCACGGGCCATGAGGTACGTCATGAGGTCGTCACGGGCCATGAGGTCGTACGTCATGAGGTCGTCACGGGCCATGAGGTAAATATGAGGTACGGGCGAAGCTTGTGCCTATCTGACGTGTAACAGAGCATTGCCGTCACTGTAGTTTTACCGTGGACCGATGTAAGTACGCGAACTTGCTTCACCCCCTTCTTCTCGACGGTTGTGGTGCCAGGCAATGTCGAAGTAAAGAGGGCTCTGATCGGCATTCCCAATTCGCCCAAGCAAATAGCCGTTGTTGGCGCGCAAGTTTAGGACGAACCTCTGAAAAACTGTGAAGCTTTTCATCGTACTCCTCCGCAAAACTTTTCGCCTATGCATGTTCCCTTCGGAGGGAAAAGCCTTTCCTCTTCATAAAGTTAGTTAGCCAGCACCTGCTGGCTTTAAACTGGCTCCGCATTAGACCTTTTTCTAAGACGTATTGCATAGCCCGCACTTGGAGCAGTTCTGTCGTCACGGGCCGCTGTGCCGCTCGCTGCTCAAGCACATACTCACTGAGCAGCTCTTTAATTTGCGGAAACCGACCCTGTTGTGGTCCACTGAAGCCTTTGCGTGAAGCTTGCTCTCGACAATCTTCTGCTTTTGTTTCCCCCGGTCCCGCACGCACGTTCGGAAACTCCCGAACTAAGAGAGATGTAGTTCAAGCAGTTGCTCACTATCATAGGGACTTTTTTAAGTTAGAATAAATATTTTGTAATGGTATATTATTCATTAATTTCATTGTATAAATTCAGTAAGAATTAATTTCAGTAAGATTCTTCCGTAGTGTGCCAAAAATTCATAGCTTTTAGTGGGCACCTTCAGTCCACTTTTTGTTATTTTTATGATCAGTGAGTTTTTATACAAGTAAAGCCACAGTGCAATGTCAGTTCTAGCATACAGTTGACACTGCAATGAAGGCACAGTGAAAAGCTGCCCACGTAGTGGCAGTGATTTTGTGGGGGACATCTCATGACGCAGTGCCCTAAATACAAGCGTGCATATATACAGAAAATTTTGCAGGTTTTTCATGATGTACAAATATTCATCTTATCCCTCTGCAAAGTAATCTGTACCCTCCACCATATGTATGTCCATGAACTGTTTTACCTGAAACTTACACTTTGTTCTTGTGTTGCAGGCAAAGCTCCTTGTTCCACCTAATGTTCCTATTGCCGACTTTTTGGCTCGTGCTCCAGATCCTCCTGCGTTCTTAGTCACAAGGACAGCTGTCACCCTCCTGAAGGTAATTCTTCCAAGACCTCACCAGAGTGTCCAACCATAAGAATAGCTGTTCTTGTTTCTTAGGTGGCGTGGTCACATCTTCAACAAAGTTTGTACTGTTAGTATCGCAGATGTGTTGTGATGTGTGCTGGGTTGCGTCTAACATATATGAGATTGTGCATAGATTGAACTTGGACTGGACAGTGTCCAAATAACCTGGCCACTTTGTAAACAAGAAAAGGGCTTTACCAAAGCACTTCGCCACTTGCTTTGGCAAACGTCGCATGAAATTAAGTGTCTTGCTGTCAGTTTCAGTTAGCTAAAGCTTGAATTTGCTGAAGATGCTTGAGCTTAGCCTATGCCATACGATTCCATGCTAAGGTTGATGGAAGGAAATCTATGAAGTTGCTGGAGTCAATGTTCAGCAATAAATCACCAGGCGTTTGGCAATGTTGTGTTGGCTTGATAGCACAGCCTGTATGACATGTTACCCACCATACCAGAGCAACCTGTTTGAAAAGTAAATTCTACACTGTTGCCTGCTAGAGGTGCTTGTATAACGTTTGCAAGTTTCTTTACCTTTCCCGTAATGGCTTTTAATTTTGCCTGTGGTTGTTGCATATTTTGTCGTTCAATCAGTTGTTCATGCTTTTGTGCCTCTTGTTATGTTATGTTCAAACCTTGGTATAACAAAGTTGCATGTTACTCAAAAATATGTTCGTTATACAGTGAAATGTCGGTATAACGAACTTCAGGGGGCCACGGCAATTCGTTCATTATTTTGAAAGGTCGTTATTGTGAAATCCCAAAAATTAACCATAAATACTGTGGGCATTTGTTGTGCACTTCTCATATATGCATTATCATAATCATCATCATCTGTCTGGGTCTCTGTCCTCATTTTCACTGGGTGTCACCACAATCATCATTGAGTGTGTACAGCGCTCAGTCTCAGACTGCCCGTTCACTGCTGAGCCCGTGGGCTGAATAAACGCTGTCTCAACCCAGACGTCATATGTGGTGGAGGCGGATTTTCGGTCCTCGGTCCTCTCCCACCTCGTTCGGCTCCCTGGAGCTGCGTTCAGGCCGCCGATTGCACCCACTATCTGGCAGCATGTCACAGAACAAGCCTGCCAGTGCTTCTGCCATCTCTCCCCTGCTGTCTTCAGCCGCGCCTCCTGTTTACGTACACAGCCACCAGCGCGATCCCCCTCTCTTCGCTGGTCTTAGCGGGGAAGACGTGGAGGACTGGCTCAGTGAGTGTTGCTAATCGCTGGGACGATAGCACCAAGCTCCGTTACGTTTCTTTTACTTGGCTGATATGTGGCGAAGACATGGTACTTTAACCACATCATCGACATACCCGACTGGGGGCCTTCGAGTAGCAGCTCCGTCGCGTTTTCGGCACACCGGCCATTTGGTCCGCAGTCGCGAAAAGAACCCTCGACACTCGCCAACAACATTCCGGCGAGTCGTACACGTCATACATCGAAGGCGTTCTTGCGCTCTGCCGGTGTGCCAATTCATCTATGCCGGAGTCCGAAAAAGTATGCCACATTTTGAAGGGTATAGGCTTTGTTGCCTTCAATGCCCCAGTTGCTCAGAACCCAGCTACCATAGCCGACGTCGTCACGACATGTCAGCGCCTCAATACTCTGGACTCGCTTCGTCTACAACCAGACATTGGCGAACATTATTCCACGATAAACAGACCTCTCCGTGACCTCATAAGAGACATAATACGTGAAGAGTTGCAGAACATGGGTTTCTCACCTTATCTACCGCGTTCTCCACTGTCTACTGGAGCGGCATTATGGGACATTATCTGTAAGGAACTGACATCTTTGAACTCTCTGGCTCACGTCGGGTCACCCGCGTCTCGGCCTATACGAACCTACGCGCAGGTCGCTGTTACGCCTCCTAGCGAAGTAAACACGACGTTGCTGCTACCGTCGTAAGCGTTGGTCGCTGCCGCTTCTCCCCTCAACTTTCGTTCCGCTTTCTGTACAGCCCGCGTTTTTATTGATGGTATCCGACACCGCATTCAGTTCACCATCCTGACTGACTGCTCTCACCAATTAATTTTAGGGGGGAACTTTTTTTCTTCTGCCTCTGCGGTTATTTGCTGTGGCCGACGCATCGTTCACCCTACTGACACGGACTACACGCTCAACGACGACACACAGAGGCTACTTCGTTTGACAGCTGCAGAAGATACCGAATTACCACCAGGTCAAGAGCGAATTGTAACTATTACTTCCAAAGACATTGACAATGGCAACGTCTTGGTCTAACCATCGTTTAGTTGTGTCGGTAAAGGCATCATTCTCACTTCCAATGTAGTTCGTTTTCTCAATGGCTCCACACTTGTCACTGCCGTGAATACAACATCCGAAAAAATTCTACTTCCTCAGAACACCACGGTGGCCTGCGTGACGAATCCCGAGCCTGCGTGCCTCGTGCCACTTCATGCCGTCTCTTCCAACAACAGCCATAACTGTGAGCCTGCTGCTTCTTCCGCCTTTACTGCAGTCATTAGCGACGACTTGACACCTTCACAGACGTAACAGCTGCTTGCTTTGTTAAAGAAACATGCAAGTTCCTTCGATGTTTACTCCTCGACGTTAGGCCGCACGACTACTACAACGCATCGAATCCACACAGTCGGAACATCTGTTGTACGCCGCCGGCCCTACCGCGTGTCTCCTGCTGAGAGAAAAATTATGGAAGAAAACATAGCTGACATGCTCAAACGAGAGGTAATTCGCTCTCATCTAGCCCTTGGTCGTCGCCTGTGGTTCTGGTTCGTAAGAAGGATGGCTCCGTGCGCTTTTGCATTGATTACAGGGCACTCAACAAGATCACTCACAAGGATCTGTACCCAATGCTTCGCATCGACGACGCCCTTGATTCTCTACAAGATGCAAAA